GTCGGAGCCTTGGCGGGGTGGGGAGGAGTCTGGGGGAGGGGGTCAGGGCATGGGGTGGAGAGTGGCCGGCCGGCTGTGGAGAGAAGTCTCGTGAAGCGGGGGAGGGCTGTGGATGGCTGTGTGTGAGTGTGTGTGAGTGTGTGTGTGTGAAGCGAGCGGAGGGTGTGGGGGGGTGTGTGGGGGGGTGGACGGGAGAGATGCTGCAGCTTTGCCAGGCTGGTTTCATTTTTAAAGGGCTTCGGTGACCATGCAGGCTTTCCCGGGCCCAGGAGCCACTTAAAGCAACCCAGCAAAGGCTCGGATGCAAAAGTTATTTGGTGGCGGCTGTTACTAGCGGAGGGCTGGAGTCGCGGAGAGGGGCGTGTGCGTGTGCATTCGTGGCGGCATCTTAAAGGAGTAGCGTGTCTTTCTGGCTGGCTTGTTCCCACCAGGGTCTTTTTTTTCCATCGTGCGTGCGTGCGTGTGTGTGTGCGTGTGTGTGTGTTGCAAGAATGCCTGGATGTGTTTGTGAAAAGGAAATTAACCCTTCTCTCTCGCCACCGTCCCACCCCAATTTAACTGTCACCATCTAGAGCCCCCCGCCCCCCGCGCCCCTTTCCCATCTCTCCGAACGCTGGGTATATGTTGAGTTGCACAGAGAAACTCCTGGCCAGTGAGGACGCGAACCCTTCCGTGCCGTGTCGGGGTGGCTGAATGGGGGAGGGGCTTGCGCAGGGACCGGCTTGGGGACAGTGCAGTCGAACCTCGAACTGGGTGGTACGCAGAAGGGGGGAGCAGAAGCGGCAGAAAGGCGGGAAGGAGACGGTGAGCTCGCGGGGTCGCCCACTCCGGAGTAAGTTGCCGGCCTGGGCGGGGGGCGGCGGCAGGATCGCTGCCGGCAGCGGCGCTGGGGAAAAGGATGCAACTAATTTCTGGCGCTTGGCTGGGTGTCTCCTAATTAAGGGAGGCGGTGCCAAAGGAGGGGTCGCCCTCGGTGCCGGCCCGGCCTTTCTTAAAGGCATGATTATTAATTGCTCCCGTGGCTTGCACTCAACTTCGGAAGACAAAAAGCAGCTGCGGGATGGCCGGGCCGGGCGCGATGCACGCCGTTTGCGGCCCACCCGAGGCGCGCACTCGACCCCGAC